GGCCTATAAAACTTACGTATACACCTACTTTGTAGTGTACCTCACATATTTTTTTTTTTTTTCTAATAATAATACGGATTTCACTGATTATTATATTATTAGGTGTATCATGTAATAGCTGGTAACCACGAAGAGGTAATAATAATAATAATATGTAAGAGGAGAAAAAAAAACGATGAAAGTTTTTTTTCCTATAGATTTCAGAAATGTTTTTGTTATGTGCTTAGACAGGTACCTACATAATTAGTTCCCACACAATAGGAAATTATTTATGGTTTAGGAGCACGACTGACAAAGCTAGCTGCATGTATTCGAAAACGTACCTATATCCATTTCACCGACTGACGATAGACGAATATTTGCCACGTTATTTGCGCGCAGTTAAAATTAACGTAATAAACAATTACCTATTTGTGTGTATTATAATTTTTTTCGTGGTGTAAAAATGGAAACGGAAAACCCGCGAGATGAATTCACAGTTATAATTATTATTTTAGCCGTAGTGATAATTAAATCGTGAAAACGCTAACCGTCTCCGTACAGAAAGATTCAATAATGCCTGTATTTTATACGAAAAATGCAATAAAATATGCAATGTCGATTTCGTTTACAAACTACTCTAATACATTACGTGCGTATGTAATATTGAGTAATTAAAATTAATAAATTAAATTGATATTACGTGTGTACAATTTATTTCAGAATTGTATACACATAAAAAAATAAAATAGCCACTTATGTCTTTACTAAAAAATGCCCTCACGTGACAATAATAACTAGAGAATTACTTAATTTTACGAACAGGTACCGAATACGAGAGACGCTTGGTAGATACTCACCATAGTATGCAAAAATTATCGTTCAGACTTTGCTCCCACAACACCCCTTTAAAATATCCAGATAATATTTCACTATTATTGTCACAAAATTAGTAATGTTAATCAAATTAAATTTCAGTATTAATAATGTAAAACGGAAAATAGAATTAGGTAAAAATTATTGCACCGGAGTTTGTGGTGCTAATCATTAAGTTTTACCAATTTTCGATAATAATATCATAAATTATAACATAGTTAGATTATCAATATTACTGTAATTAATTTTACACTCGTACGTGGTTTTATTTTGAAAATTAAAATAATGATGTATACTATACAGTAGTGCATAATAATAATACTACTTAGTTTATTTATTTTAATATTTTTATTTGTCGTCTGTGAGCGCAAAATAATATTTTTACGAGGACCACGAGGATCGCCTTGTGTGGGGAAATGCACCCGAATGCCGCCGCCGTAGATAGGCGACTTTTGTACAGGCCAAAAGTTAGGAAGATATAGAATAAAATAATTTAGTTTTTATAATGAAACCAACAACAAATTATTACGAACAAAAACCGTTTCCAAGCGAATAAACTCAAGTTATAGGTTGTATACTATATAGTACTGATCGTGTTTTTTATCGCCCGTAACCAAATTATAAAACTTAGAAATTAACAAAAAAAACGACCGACGTGTCACTGTTTGCTGTCAATTTTGTTCTATTATTTTTTATTATTATTGTTATTATTATTAATTTTTTTTGAAAAATACCTGTCTTTTTAGATGCCACGTGAAAAACATTAGGTTTTACTAAACGACTAAGCGTTTTCCGAGAACAAACAACACCCGTCTTAGTAAAATTATAGTGTTGTAGCTTCTTCACTACACACAGAAATCATAAAATAATAATTGTTGTATACGGCGTTAAAACGTAAAGTCTACGTACCTACCTAATTTTCATTAAACCGAAGACCCGATATCGATACATCATCGTAAAAAAAAATAATTGGCCTTTACGCAACACGAAATGTGCATCATTTGTTTATTATACTTCACCAGACACTCAGTCTCTTTATAATTATTGTTTATAAGCGATAAAATTGTAATCATATTATGTGTTTGATGTTAACGCGAATTACTATTATAATATTATATCCTCGAATGTTTTTTTTTTTCCTTTCTTAATGATTATTGCGGTCAATATTCTCTCAAACGTACAGAACAAAGATTACACATGTGCCCGCCTGTATTGTTTCACAACGATAAAAATATGTTCCGAGGAAATTTTTTTTTTTTTTGTCGAGAAAACTGCAGTAATAACCTATTCAAAGATAATCCGCGAGAATAAAATTATACAAATAAAATTAAAAACTAATTTCGATCGACAAACAATAATAACGGTGTTACAATATTTATTGATAATATGTTTACCCATATATAATATTGATAGGTATATACATCGAGTAAGGTTAGATTATAAAATATTGTATTTTAACGAACCGCAAACGCCTGCTATTGTACGGAGTACTAAAGTTCGAAAAGAAAATGATCGATTACCTATAATAGCTGATATTATTATAAATAAATATTTGCTTACCTTGGCCACGGACTGATGTAAATGCACATTATAATGCATTATTATGTATTTCGATATCACGTCACAGTATAATAATACAGTCTTATATGCAGTTTTGCATTTTAATCTAATACGTATTTTATTCCTTACCGCGGCTCCATCGGTTGACGTATTCCTCTACGTTTTAATCGCGTAGCATAATGCCTATTCACATAGAATTCAACCTCCAGTCTCTTGCTAACGGTCAGTACTCATTTAACCTCACTTTTCCCCGCAAGCTATTTTCCGGTGATATTGATTCCCCAACCACTTACCCTGCCGCCTACTAATCAACTTTAATATTCCTTTTCCCGATCGACCCGTTATTAAACACAATTCCTTATTTCACATCTATCGCACCACGAACTTATTTCGAAACTCACCAGCGATGATGACCCTTCCGTTCTCGTACGTTTAAATCATACATATACGATCTCTGCGAAAACTAATTTTAAATATAGATTAGTTAAAGTTTAATTAAGTTAAAAATTGTATTAATTTTTATTTATTACCTGGATGTTGAAAAGCCCGTAGTACCAAATAAATAAACAAATAATAACAATGACAGTGACAAAAGTAGGTATTGACTATGTAGGTCAATACATGCTCGTATATTATTGGTTTAGTATACGATATTCTTAAACTTATATTTTACCGATGCGAAATGTACCTAAACTCATCTATTACCAAGCGTTGCATAATGGATCATTTCAAAGTGGTCGTAAGTAATACCAAACAAAGTCGGGATAGTTGCAATTGTAATGCGCCGTAATATTTACAATTTAAAAATATTACGCTTCGTAAACTTTCCTGTTTTTCCTACGTTTTTTTTCGGATTTTTCATTTATTATGAAAACCCCTGAAAAAATCAAAAAACGGTATTCTTAAATACAGATATCCTTTCAGAAAAAATGCTACATTGGAAAATCGGAGCAAAATTGCTGATAGAAAAAATGTTCACCGAAAAAATAATAAATAAACATCATTGTTAAACCAATGCATTCCTCGTTCTACTCGGAATCTGAAATATATTCAAAAATGCCAAAAGTGAGTTAGCATAAACGCTGAATTGGAACAACTTATGTATAAACGAGTTGTTTCCCTACCTTCTTCCTTCCACCGAAAAACGATGCCACTGAATTGTATGGCTGCAGTGCGTGTGTGTGTATAGTCACGTTCACATACCATACTATTGATACGATACATATAATATTGATGGGTTTCTCAGCATTCATAATAATATGTGTCGATTGAACTTAATATACAGGACGCGTGTCCGATTAAACGTAATCTGAATATTTTTCTAGCGTATGCGTGTGTGTATGTGTGTGTGTGTTTTAATCGCAAAAATTCGTCGGTAATACGGTCTAAAGCCAATATTAGCCCGACTAAAAATTGTATACGGATAAGCCATCCCTATTCCCTAATACCTAATGATTTGCAAACTACTTTATTTATTCTCTCGAACTTTTAAAAAATAAATATTAAATAATTTTTAGTGAAACAAACATTATTTTTCTTTTTTTTTTTACGTCTAAGACAGGCGGAGACTAAAAATCGGTTGAATATGTAGAGATACGGCAGAATTACCGATATTTTCCTGACTAGATCCTTCCAAAAACAATTAATAAAATAATATCTAACGTACCTCCTCGTTTCTGCCCTTGCCCTTATAGTTAATCGTCAATGCCCGATAATTTATCTTTTAAAAAGGGTATTGCCATGTATCTGACAGCTAATTTTAACAATAATTACTGTTTTTTTTCTCCGTGTTACCAAAGTAGCCAGTAAAATAATAACAAAACTAATTCAATTTTCGTTCCAAAAATACCAAAAACCGTGTGTCTGCCTCCAATTAAGAATTCAATTTCGAGATAAAAATTAGACATTGATCTTCCTCTTGTGTTGAATGTCGAGTGTGCAAAGTTTCATCAAGATCCGAATAAACTGTAGACATGTATAGCGGACAGACACATATAGATGGGCAGACAGCTGGACGGCGAGAAAGACAGACATACAGATAACATTTAATTTAAATATATTTATACATGATTGTGCAATCATAAATCCAAAACATTACCTTAATAACGCGCTCTTCGAAAATTTTAAACTTATTTTGATATATTTATTCGGATATTGCGCTAAATACTACAGTTATTTTTCCTTTTATTTTTAATCTGAAAACCAAACGAAAACATATTCGATATTTTTACAAAACGAGAAATGAAATTCAAATTCAATTAGAAATATTTTTCTGAGAATTAGCTGGCGTATCCTACTTCAGTAGAATTATAGGCTCGCCCACTTCGTATATAATATTTTATAAATCTCGAACGGTTATTTTATATTGAACGATTTTTTTTTTTCCGTTAAAAAAAGCACTTTAGACTTTATGATGAAATAAACTATATCTTCTTATTAAATATTACGCGAATATACACGTGAACTACAAAATTGTACAGGCTGAATATTTGGTCGATTAATCATCAATAAAATGGACGTTCAGTAAAACTGTCTGCATTATTAAACATAGGTTTTAAAATCATCGCAAATTAATATTATATCGATTAAACAAACACTGTATGGTGCAAACTCGTACGATAATATCGATCGTTACGCGCAGGCAATGTGAATTTCATTTTAAGTTCTCAGTGAAACAAGGAATCTATTGGTTTTACCACGATGTGTACTTTTATTTATTTTTTTCGGTTTGTAAACAACTTTTCTCGTGTAAATCTTGTTCTAATCAAAACATGACAAGAGACTTTTGTTGTTGCATTTCGACTCTAATTGGCATTTGATACAGGTAAAATTTTAAAATTCTAATTAATAATCGACTTTATGAGGAAATCTGGTTCTTTAGGCTTTTCATTTTTTTTAGACAATCGTTGTTGTCTTGGAAAGGCACATTTTTTATTTTAGATTTTTTCTTCACTTAGAATCGTTTTTCATTAGCGATAGTTTATTGTTGCTTACAGGTGTAAATTAAATAACTTTATATATCCCACCTTCCAAACTACCCACCTACAACAGTGGCCACACCTGTTCTCAGTATCAGCTCTTTTTTTTTTTTAAATATTTTGTTTATAATAATTCAAATCGTTATAATCATTTTTAGAAACTGCGCCCATAACATTTATAACCGAAATCTATGTCAATAATTTATCAACTGTAAATAAATATAGGTTACGTGAAATGACAGTATTATTTGACAGTACATGATTTTAAGGTAATTTTTTAATTATCTACAAATACTGCCGCTATGATTATTTTACTGTACCGTTTTAAAGTCAACATTATTAACAGGTTTCTTAAGCGTTAAAATTTTGATATCGGTATAGATATTGTATTTTACATGTACGATACGACTGATTCACAAATTTGATTTTTTTTTTTAATATATCGAGCATTTTTTTTCAGTTAGTAACAATTATTCAAAACTTTTACGCGCCCAGTCGTATTAAAAAATACCCGACGGTACTTTGATCGAATCGTTTTTCTACGTAGAATTCCGAAATTTAAGAAAATAAAATGTAGAATTATTAATAAATTCCATAATATCAACGACGGGTATATTTACTTGAGTAACAAATAATTAAACAAATATTTTTGAGCTTTTTGAGCCAAAAATAAGTAAGAAGATTATACACGAAGGAATAAAATATTAAAATTAGGAATATACAAAACAAATTATTACTATTTTTAACACGGCGAGTAAACCAATTTTATTTTGTTTCATTTATTTATATTTGTATAAACGATGAGTAGCGAAAATATCGACGTGACCCATTCGCCTTCAGATTCGACTACGGAGATATTCGCCGAATACCCAATATCCCAAATACATAAAAATAAACACACATTAAAGTCCGGACAATTTCAAAATATTTGTATTTCGGCTAATATTTTTTCCCGCTAGTTTTAAACAACAGTTTAAGCAAAAAAAAAATCAAAATGGATCGAACAACAGTCACCGCACACGTTTATTTATATTGCGAATATTTAGTAAATAAGAAATAAAAGAAGAAAAAAAGAAACCCACGAGGACAAGAGAGGAGGATTTAAATCCACAAAATTAGAACTATGATATAAGTATATCGAAGTGTTTCGAAGTGTACACCTGTGGTATAAATGCAATACAAATGTCAGTTACCGTTTTCAGAATATTGTATTAATCGATATTACGCACTTTTTTACGCTTTGAAAATGATAGTATATTTTGTTTTTTTTTTTTTTGAACAAACATTTGCGCAATTTTTAAGCACGAAAATATCGTCATCGGACAAACGTTACCTACTTCACACTCTTCCTTAGGATTAGACGCCTTTTACTGTCGAAAAACGGAAAACATCCGATGCTTGCCGAAAGTCTCACGCTACTTGTTACTCGGTAAATATCGTGGGTTCGCATATCGAAAAAATCCGGCAAATGACGATATTATATTAATACTAAACATTTCTTTCCTTTGCTTCTTACTCTCTTAAACTCGAGCATCCGCCGCAAATTTTTTTAAAGTTATGGGTTTAACTACTAGTTTCATACACATACCCCAAAGGCCATAAGCCAACATTTAAAAACATATAGTAAATAAATATGTAAATAAAAAAAATGTATACATAAAAATAAAATAAAAAAATGAATGAATATGTTGCCTGGACTATTATGATAAGTGTATACTATCCGATCGGTTTCGAATTAAAAATTCATAATCGGGTATATCATAGTCAAAATGTAAAACGCGACTCACGTAGGTAATAATACTCCAGGTGATGCATTCATTCATTTATTTATTTTATTTTTATATATACTATACGTTTTTTATTTATATATTTATTTACGAGTATTAACCATTTTAATAATTTTGCTTTTACTTTATTATTTAAAAACATTTTTACGAGAAGACCTGTTGCTGAACACTGAAATACCCATGTCACCCATCCTGTCTATCGGTCTATCCGGTTATAAATAAGCAATAGGCACACGAATGCGTCATTTTCTGTCCGGTACTCGTAGTATTTCTAAACTAGAAGTTTAGGCTTGATGACCTTAGGAATTTTATTTAAATGCCTACCTAGTAATATTAACTAAAACAATAATACTCTAACCTCTTACACCGAACAATAGTGGTTATTTAGATGTTTAAATAAGTAGTACTTTAACTGTCATTCTCATTCATAGATAATAACATTTTATTATATTTTTTTATCTGTGTTATTATCACGCATAAAGCTGACGCTAGTAATTATTTATGAGAAAAAAGGGAGGAAGTTGTATACATATAAATTTGACGAATTTTTAATTAATGACCTGTTTTTTTTTCTGCTTGTCGACCTTTTTAGCGTAACATGCTATGCAACAAAACATTAGGCATTACTATTCTGTAATTGTTATTCCATTACTAATCGCATTACTAATCGCGTTAAGGCTTAAATGATTTTATTTATTTTCTTGTAAATGTAAAATTTCCCACTACTCATCAATATTTTTACACTTACCGACTAGAAATTAATTTATCTTACTGATGGAAAGGTTAATTCCTAACCCACTCCTGCATTGATCGTCCCTAGGTGATAAGGTATTTAAAATTTCATTATTTACTGTTGATAACTCTGACCATCGGAGTAAAAATTAGTTATTTGGAGAAAGGCTTTCGTCCGGAATATATAAGAACAGTGATAACGACATGGTTGTATATCATTTTCCGTTAAAAAAAAAAAAAAAAGTGAGAATATTCTCTTCACACGCCACGTTACTTGTGGAATATATTACTGTTATTTATTTATGATTAATGTATTCACACGGAAAACACCGTATAAATCATAATGCAGTGCGAACGTATAGCGTACGCGTTCGGTCGTATAGTTGTGATAACGGAAAGCAATACGATAACCAAACAGGCTAGGTTAGGTAACAAAAATCGCGACTACGAACGTACGTTTGTATTGGCAACACCGCATACCAGTCACACACGCGCGTTTTTCGTCGGAACGATACAGACCGTGTACAGGTCTAACTCTCGTAGGGGAAAAGCGAGGTCCTCGCGCCGTACCAAGTGCAACGAGATTCTTACGATACACTGCGATATTGCAATGTCGCGGGGATATTTTCCCGAGAACTTAAATAGTACACTGTGACGCGACGGCGTGCGCATCCGGTGCCCGACAACGTTCTCGTGGTATTATCGTATAACAATAATAAGAAATGATAATAATAACAATAATATTCGTATGCAATGCGCGATCGCGCTACACTTTGAACTTGAAAACGTTGGAAACGACGACGGCGACGGGCGTCGGCGGCACCGCGTTGCGACGATAAGATTAATACGATGACGACGCTAATAATACACTCGTGGTTTTTGGCACGCCTCCGTCGCGGATTACCGTGCCGGGCCGTGTGTGCGCAGGTAAATCAAGCCGCAAGGGTAAATACAATAATATATTTTAATGTATGCCATCGATTAAAAGACTATATACCTGCTATCAAATATTATACACACCGACTGCGGCGGTCCTATACAGGGCGATAATAACGCCTAACCCGTTTTACCCCGGAAAATGTCGAATTTTTTTTTTTGTCGGCGTTCGTTTTTCGGAAATCGCTGGTAACAAACAGCTTTAAAAAAAACGTTAAATGTCCGTTGTTTTTCGCCGCGCCGTATTTTCGGGGGCGAAACCTGCGGTTTAAAACACGATTTTGATTTTCGACTACCTAGCTACATTAAAAAGCTGTCCTAGCGTAAATGGGGACGGGTGTAGCCACTGTTATAGATCGGAAGTTGGGAAAGTAGTATAGGGGAAATGTAATGTAAATCTGTAATCGACGATAAACCGTTGCTGACAAAAGAACGATTCTCAGTTGAGTTCGGCCGATAGTGTTGTTTTGTCAACGATATAATATTATGGTAAAATAATTAAATACGCATTATATGTTTTCTTTAATAATATTTGTTTAATATCGTGTCTATTTTCCTGTTTTCCCTACGTTATTTTCGGAGTTTTCCCATTTATTGGGAAAACTGGAAAATCAAAAAAATTACCTTCCTAAAGTACTTTCCCAGACAGATTTCCTTTCAGAAAAAGTATTGTAAATTGTTAATCGGAACAAAATTGCTGGTAGAAAAGTTGTCAATCATTGTAAAACCAATAAATTCCTCTCTCCGCTCAAAATCTAAAATTCAACAAACACGATACATTTTCGGTGTGAATGCATTTTGACGCTGACGTTTATAATAATTTTCATCGACGAGATATTCTGCTATTGAGTTCGGATAGGGGGATCCAGTAGCGGAGCAGTATTCGTACGAATGACGTTCCACTACTTTTCCCCAGCCCAAACGTACACGCGGAGAACATCATCTCGTCGACGGGTTGACGGCAATTGTACGTATCAACACCGAATTTGCATTTGAACTAATCGTAATCGTCTATCTGTTTGATTTTCGATACCAGTCGCTATTCGAAAAACAATTGGGGTTCTCGCGCTCGAAAACAAGGGTGACAAAATACAACGGCAATGTAACATTTCAGAGCCGCTTATTTCTTTCGAAATAATTCCGAAAAAGCTTGTACTTTTCGACAGAACGAACGTCGTACCGAGGATCGATCACCCTGTATATACATTTTTAGGACACCCGTCAAACGCGGTTAACTAACTCGGCGGCGGCGGTGTATCGCGACAATTGATCGCTCGCGGCGTCACTCGAATATATATACATACATATATATGTGTGTGTGTGTGTGTGTGTGTATTTGACATAATGACACATATTATATAAATATATAATAAATGAACGCGAACGCAAACTCGTGAGTTATATTATTTTACCAGGCCTTGTAGGAAACAGACACTCGTGATCCGTATAAGTCCGCATGTACTAGAGCTTTTTATTTTTTATTTTTTTTTTTCAACAAACTTTCTTGACAGCGACAAGCCGGACGATTATATTTGTTATATTATATTTACGATATTTCGCGATGTGGCTAGGCCATGCACTTGTTGTAGGCGAATAGTTTGGAAGGTGTAGGATTGCAGGACAATTTAGTTAGTACTTCGTACTTTAAAAGGAGTAATTTTGTCAGTGCTGTTTCTTGTCTCTAAACATCTGTGCAGATGAAAATCTGTTCGGAACCTAGACGATTTTGGGCGAAAAGAAAACGCCTTATTTAACGTATGCGTCAACCAAAAAATTTAAAAAATCAATAAGTTCAATTTTATCGTAATGTTTTGTTATTCCCGTAATATTATAATGTACGGTGAGTGTTAGAAATGAGTTGTGGTGAGTCGTAATTTCGGTTATAACGGTCGTAGAAAGTACAAACAGATTGTGCAAAATATCAAGCAAATTACGAACTAAATGGCGGTGATATTGGAAAATCCAAAATCTAAAAGGGGATGAGGCAGTATTACGTACGTAATAAAATGTCAATCGCATTAAATTTGTTTTAAATAAGAGATTCTTCCGAGCTCTGTACGGCGTCTACTTACTGTGCATTTAAACATTTTCCGTAGTAAATACGGTATAAACAAAAATATATTGCGATGGAATTTGTTTTAATAATGTTTTTGTCACATAGTGAATAATATATAATAAGAAGCAAAAGAACTATATTTCTATACCTATTAAAAAGGAGTTTAGTCAAATTTTATGCCCCGCTTCTTAATAGACGTAAATTTTAGGAACACCGCGCGTACACTAAGATAATAATATGGAAGTTTTACGTGTATAGAAAAAACAAAAGCTGTACAGGTGAATAATAATACAAAATAAGTATAAGCACGTGAAACCACTTTCGTCGTTTTCATATAAGCTTTTGTCACATATATATTGTTATATGTGTTTATGTACATCGATTTAATACATTAGAGTTCTATCTGAATAATTGAATAACATTATATAATCCTGTGATTTATTTTGTTTATCCTTGTGTATAAACTTACGACTATATTGTACAATTTTTTTAAACTTGTCTACGACTGTAAGCATAAAAAAATAGCTAATATTGCTAATATAGAATATGCCACCTGGTTGTAGATGAGAAGTTAAGTTTCTACTTTTGAAAACCGGAGATAAATTTCTGATAAAAAATTGTTGTTAATAGACAGATAAAATAATAATTTTTTAAAAAAACACATCATAGTCAAATCATTAATGTATGATTTAAAACGTGAAAACTATTTTTTGATTCTTGCAGAATATTTTCAATATGCATTTTTGTCATAAGAATAAATAATGATTTGTTCAATAAAAACCCACGCAATCCTAAAATCGATACGATATAATAAACGAAATTTATAAAAACAATAATTTCGATACAATTAAAATTTAATACAAACTAATGTTATTATATTTTCTCTGCAATTAGTTATCTAAAATCTTTACTTGTGATGTAAAAATAATAACAGACCGTCACATTAAAGTTTATCTTCAGATTTTCGAATAAATTATCCTTATGAATTATTGTTACCTGACAACTGTTATTTTCTTCTTTTTTTTGAAACAAATGTAACTTAAAATTAAAAAAATTTAAAACGTCATCGACGTGATTATCTTCTAAGTATTAAAGCATCTTTAAACATTTTAAAATAAGCGTTTGTTGTATACATATTTTCGCTATATATGTTGCCCGTTAAAGAAAAATTTAGACGGGAAATGCTACTCCGATTGCTTCATAACGCTTACAATAAATATGAACTATTTATGAGTCGTAACTGATAAAAAAGAAAACTTGAGTATGGATCAAAATAGAATAACAGCTGATCGCATTAATAATATATACCGGGTGATTCTTTTATCGTCAAATACTCTTAATTACTAAAAGTATTCTTCAAAAGTTTCTTTTTTACGACTTAAGAAACAAATAGCTCCAAAATGTTAAATTTCAATTATTTTTTGTCATCCTTATTATAGATTTTGAGTGAAATTGGAATGTAATGGTTTTACAATGATGTTTTTTTCTGTAGGCCAATTTTTCACAAGCAATTTTCTCCGATGTACAATAATACCAATATTTCTGAAAGAAAACCGAACTGTGGTGGTACTTTAGGAATGTCATTTTTTGATTTTCTCAATAAGTAAGAAAAACCAAGAAAAAAGTAGAAAAAACGGGAAAATATTTCCAATATTAAACTAATATTATTTAAAAAAATATTTAATGCATAAATATCGTATTTTTTATTACAATCTTAAATAGTCTTCTCAGTAAACATTTGTTCTTTTCTTATCTATTTTACGCTAATCAGTGAGAAATTAAGGAATTTTTTTTTTTTATGTGAACATTTCCTGCCAGAATGTTTACCCTCATTATCAAGTATAGCACCTGAAAATTATTATTTGAAATTCTCATTATTATTCGAGATAATGAGAAAAACCTTTTTCTTTAGGTTAAAAAAGATTAAAAATGAGGTTGTCATTGGCAACCATTTTTATTTATTTTTTTGATATTATTAAGTTTTTCTTATTTTAATCAATCATTGTTGATATGGAAACATACCCTGTTAAAATTATATTACCACAATATAACATATATTATATTGTTAAAAAAGCAACATTATTATTCGAACTCAGTTTAGAATCGTTTTTTCATTATCAATGGTTAATCGTTGCGTACATATATAAATTAAATTTCCGTCTATATTCTACCTTTCCGACTTTCCACGTGGCTGTACCCGTTCCCATTATCTTAGGACAGCTTTTTGGGGGTGAAACTATCTACTTTTGATTATCAAATGGCAACCTATATTAAAAACTTCATAAATAGACGAAGTGTTAGTTTAAATACATTTTGGTGTTTAAATAGTAGAATATCTCGTAAACTAATACCTTATTCCATCTATCTATGGTATTTTTAATATAGGTTGTCATTTGAAAAGTTGATGGCAAAATATAGCGGTAATGATACATTTTAGAGGTGCTTGTTTCTTAAACTGTAAAAAAAAAATTTTTTTTGAACAAGTTCAATACCTTTTGGAATAATAAGTGTTCAATGATAAAATAATCACTCTGTACATATACTACTTTAAGTGAGTACAACATTTAGTAGAACATTAACAAAACGTAATAAAGATACCGTGACAGATAATAGACGGTACATTTTAAACAGTTTTTTCAAACGGTTTCGCGATAAAAGTTTAATTATTAGGCATTACTAAACTCTTTCATTGTAATAATTGGCGAATATATAGTATAATCTTGACTTTCGAGAATTTCGTACTTATACCTGACTTAAAATAAATACATATTAATCATCCTGTTGTAATCTACACTGTGTTCAAAGTTCGTGTACATAGATTACATTCGGATTCTCGTAAACTGCATTTAGATACCCACACTACTAACACTGTTTAAATGTGGTAATTATTTCGTTTGGGTATTTTCTTTCATTACATTTGTGTGTTTTACATTGACGACAGAATCGTAAAAAATGAATAACATTCTTTATCGTGCATACCTGCTAGCCGTATAAATACAAATGTGTGTATAAATATACAAAAATTTAAATTCGTATAGTTAAACGTGGAATTTAAAAAGTCAGTAAGGTAAGGTACATAGCTAAATACACAAAGCTAAATCTTTTCCAGTGTTGTTCCGGCACACTAAAGGCCCCTATAGGAATACATGTTTATAGAGCCTCATAGATGGAAAAAAAGCTATGCAAATCAGTACGATAGTGGAACGAAAATCGATAATATTTCTAAAAACAACTACAGGTTCCTCGGCGATATAAACGGCATTTTAATTTTCAATGATTTGTGTATAGATTTACTCACTCACACAATTATCAATAAAAAATTACAGTGATATATAATAAAATATATATATAAAGACTATTTAATCCTTTAACTAGACGTTTTTTTTTTTTTTTTTTTATTTAACAAATATGTTAAAGTTGAAATTCGGAGTAATATGTCTGGTAGAAAAGTCTTTCACAAAAACTAAAGTAGAAAAACGCGTCATAGTAAAACCAACACATTTATTGCCGCGCACAGAATCTAATAAACCATATAAATAACTCGGTTCAAACGAAATAAATTGCACTGCACGAAGTGGCGTTTTTATGGCGTAGCGGGGAGGGAATGTAAAATCTTTTCCTCGGCCTATTCAAATAGACTTTTTAGGAATATCAACGCGAACCAGTCGAAAAACCGCTGGATAGAACGTCCACTCGGTCCAGTCAATTTTTTTGAGGCTATCCACCGTCTACTATAGTACTGTTAAATTTCGGTTGTGAAAAACGACTCAGATCGATCGGTACCATTCGACAAGGTGTGCGGTGCGTGAAAAAAGCGCGAGATTTTTTACAGTCTCGTATATGTTCTTTTCCAGGAACAATATACCCGTTCCCCGGCGTGTCGTGACAATTGCATCTAGCTCGTTCGAAAATTGATTGTGTACCTATACAGTATATATTTGTACGTCCGCGGTTTATACCGTTTATGGTATGTATACTGTATTTTACTACTTTAGAAGTACAATAGTATCGCCCGCACGTAAAAATACAACAAAAATTTCAGCCGAATATCTTATGCAACTTTCGACAACACAATTCGAAATTAATGTTTTTTGTGAGATGTTCGAAAAATTATGAATTATTCCTGTGTTATAATTTATAATATAATCGTATAAGTTTGAATTGCATTTATTTTAGTTAATTTGCAATTGGGTGGAAAAAAACCGGTAATAGTCCAACAGCGC